CAGACCTCAACATCATTGAATGTGTTTGATTACTTGGATTGTGAAAATACAACCGACTTCTAAGACTGAACTTTGGAAGTGTGGAAAAATATCCCTGCGGATTTCACTGAGAAACTGAAAGCAAGTCTCCTGAAAAGAATGGAAGCTGCAATAAACACAAAGAGGGGAATCACTAAATACTGACAGATTTGATAGTATATTTAGCTATTTTCTGTTAAGTGTATGTTTTCTGCTTTCTTTTCGCTTGATTTCTTTTCATTTGAAAAACGAAGAACGTGTACTTAATGGCTGTTTAGACTGGAAATTAAATAAACGAATGGTAGTTTCTGCCTTTGCACTATACTATACCTTACAGTATCAGTCTCATGCGCATATATAGGGATGCTCAAGTGTTTAGACCTTATACTAAAACACACACACACACATTTATACATCTTGCCAAGATGTGGGCAAGATGTACTGTTGTCTTAAGAAAACATCAAAACTCCATGTTTTTGCTTTTGCAATTTTTTTCACCATTTAAAAACACCAGCTTCTCTATGTGTCTATATGTAATAAGGATTTTCAAAGCCTGACCCTACAGCTGACTCTAATCTCAACCTCAGTAGCCAAAAAGAAATGGTTTTGCTCTTTCAGTTTTACAAAATGAAAGCTTCTATAAAAAGCAGTTTACAAAGTCAAGATCATTTTGTTGGTTCTGCAAGTTAGTACTGTGTTTCTCTGGATTTTCTACAAAAATTGGGATATTTTATGTCCTCAAAACTCACAAAAACAAACACACAAACACGGATACGCACACACAGAGCCAAAAGAGCAACCGATAGGCTCTAGGTGCACCACACACCACGTGTGGATCTGGCAACCTGCTGCTGGAGTAAACGGCACACGTTCAGACGGAGTAGAGTCGCCTGGACTGAGTCCACTGAACACAGCAGCGGCACCAAACGCCCCCAAATAAAAACAGCTTCTCTCTCTCTCTATCGATCTTACTGTTCCATTAACCTTTCAGTAGAGATGGGACGGGTACCGTTTTCAATGATATACCGTAGAATACAACCCATTGATAACTGTTTGGCAACTTGTTAGGCTGTGAAAGCCATAGCAGAGAGAACTGGTGGTGTTCTACATGTTCTACTATAGGATTTTTTCACCCATGTAAAAGAACAAGAGCACTGCTATTTATAGAGGACGAAAAATGTCAGATTTGCTTAAATTATAGCTGACATTTTGGTGTTAAAAAGGAATACACAGGGCTCAAAGAAAGGTCTGTACATGTAGTATCAAACCTATAAAAGTCCAGTATAACATATATATATAAGCCTAAATCTGATATGATCTAATATAATCTAATAATAATCTAATATAAGCCTAAACTATATTGCCTGTAGTGAAATGATATCATTGTGTATTAGTATGTTTTGAAGTGCTGTATATTTTAGTGCTGTATGTTTTAACAATACTACAATAATCCTGATTATTTTGGTGGCTGATATCACGGTGGGAAATTTTCATATCACCCCACGCCTAAACCTTAAACCGTAAAGACTGGTCAGTCTTTAACGACGGGTCAGTTCCTCACTGTGTATCTGCATAATTCACATGTTCGTTTCAAGGTAACTGAAAAATACTGAATAACACTGAAATATATAACATTGATAACTGAATAATAAGCCTACAGTTTATAACAACACAACTTTCTTTGTCTTGAATTTTACTGTTTCATGTAACAGTTTATTTATCATTAAAATAGTCTCTCTCTCTCTCTCTCTCACTATCATATAAAAGGTCTTTCTCTCCTTCTACCAATTCAACTCTTTCTTGTTGTATTTCGTCTGCTCAGCTGCCAATTTTACCCTTTCATAACATCCTGAAAACACACAATTAATTTTAATGTGTGCAAAACATTCATTTCTTGACTGACTGTGACAGAAGCAGAGTCATCCAAACCTCCATGCTTAAAGTAATGATTTATCCCAGAGAACAAATAGGGAAATTATAAGGAATAATACAGATTAGGATGAGAACAGCCTCAGAAATCCTGTAAAGAAAGATGATAATGAAGAATATAATTGCATGAACTGATTCTGTTTCTCATACTGATACTGGTTTTAAATGAATGCTGTTAATTAAGGCTCAAACAAACCAGAGACACATTTAAATTACTAAAGCAAAATAGCTGGTGTCTAAGTAGACAGATTATATTACCTCTGTAAATTAAAAGCAGTCAATATAATAGTATTAATAAAATTTATAAAATGAATTAAATAAAATCCAGTAGCAAACCTACAAAACCAAACATTACAAAACAGTTTCTTCTATGAGATTATAAGCTTATAACAATGAGATTCAACTGTTACTGATAACGATCATAACACAAACCAAATATGGTAATTTAGGACTGTTTTGTTCCATTTATAATTTATAATTTCAATAAAAACAAAATCTCTAATGTCTGCACGAACTATTAGCAAAAATGTTATTGCACGCCCTTTGAAATGAGATGGAAACAAAAAGACCACTGTCTGATGTCAATGCCACCTAAACAATATGAATGATAAATATTTCTTTCCATTTCATTACTGTCTTTTTGTTTAAGCTCTGTTTTTCAAATGTAGGCAGATGCTTTAAAGCCAATCATTTAATTAAAGTAGAGCAGAACCCACTAACCATGATGCTTCAAAAGAGACAAAAGAATGCAAAATACATCATTTATCAGCATCTAATTACAGGGAAACTGACATAATATATACGCTTCCTTTCATTTTTTAATTATTTTATTTTATTCCATTTTTTGAGCATGATTATGAACGCCTGAGTAATTAAACAGGGGTGAAAATAAATGTACTTTAGAGGATAACACTGAAATCATATGTGTGAGAACACTGACCAACGTTATATTGCCTCACTATAAAACTGTAAGCAGGACTCTAAGGAGTAAAACAAATGTTTCATGCACAGAAACATCAGCTGATTGAGCTTTTGGCAAATCAAAAGATTTTATACATCTTTATTAATACTTTAAATTTTATTCTGTTACTATTTAAAGGGCATTTATAAGACATTTCACTCTCAGTGCCTTTAAACTAAATATCTACTGCATCCTCAAAGTGATTTTCCCCAAATACTGGCTATCTGTACATTTCAGTAATTACCTGGGAATGTTTTTAAAATGTTTAAAGTTATATTTTAAGTAAAACCTAAAGGATAAAATCGTGTACCTTGTCAAGTGTTTTACTATGTATATCAGTCAAAAATATACAGAATCACAGCACTGAAACTGGCCTACTGCTTTTTATCAAACATAATAAGGACCAGAGTAGCACTAAAAACGATTTAATAACCTTTCAATATAAATTTCAATCTATTTTTTTTTGAACAATAAAAAATATTGAGAACCCTTAAGCTTGTTTCTGCTTCCTTAACAAACTGTGAACATAAATCCGTGCAGACGGTTTCATATCTGTCCATATAAAAAGACAAATTTGTATTTATGCTTGCTCTGAAAGCCTGGTGACGTTAAATATGTCAGGTTGTAACTTCACGTTAATGACAGCCTAATAAACAAGAACCTAAACAGATCAGAGCTCCGCAACAAACCTTACGCAGGCACGTATTCCTTTAACTCACTTGGCGTAGCCCCCATATGGAGAGCCATATAGCTACGTAAAGCACGTCGTCGTTTGCCAAGGCCAGCATTTCACTCCGTGTTTCCCATGTTTGCCCCCCTCTAAAGTACCCTCAACAAGGCTAGAAACGCCATGTTATGAAACGGTGGCACATTATGGTCACTGCTCGCCTTGTTCATGCAGTCTGAACAGTGGTGTTTTAATGAAAAGGCGCTTAACCAACCGCCTCATACGTTAGCTTGCAATGCTAGGTTCCCTCAGAGCTGATTTGGCAAAGCTTCAGCGAAGCCTCTGAGCTTTAGGGGCCTTAATGATTTTCCTCTGACCACACTATGAAAATGGCAGTCCACCTCCTGTCTGTGCGTGTTAATGCTCACATTTATCTGCGTACAGATCCACTTTAGACAGCACAGGAAAGGGTCACTTTGTTTAAAAGGGAAGCTACGGAGCGAAAGAGCGTAACAAAAAAAAAAATAATAACAACCAAATTGAAGAGAGGTCAAAATGAGGCGTCAGTGAGACAAACTAAAAAATACATTCACAAGCAAATATGGCCATGTTTTTTTTTTCTAGCCTACCTATTTGCTTACCTAGCTATACACTTTGTTTGTTTATTTATTTATTTATTTATTTACTGGAATGTGTCTCAAGCACGACCCTACGAGCTACGTGAAGAGGGGGTTATGACTTTTTTTAGCCACATACTTTTATATTTTTTATTTACTTATTTATTTGTTGCTCTCCTTATTCTCCCTCACACGTATACAGACATGTATCTGTGAGCTACGCGAAGGTGAAGGTGAAGTCTTCGCCAGTCAAAACAGACAGACAAACCGCACATAATATAAGTCTATGGTACACGTAGAAATCCTCACGCGTTTCTAAACAGCCATATAAACACGGTTTGAGGATGAAGCGCAAACGAAGGCCCTCCCAAGACACCATGAAGCCAACAGGGTCTCCCACCTCTCAGCACCAAGTCACTAGTCTGTGGACTTCAGGCCACATAAAGCAACAGGAAGTGTCGAGCCACTTGAACTACCCTTATGAAGCACAGTATGTGAATTTCTAACCCACAAAGACTCCAGTTGCCTAAACATGAGACCTTATTCAAGGTAGTCACTTAGTGCTCTTTTTACGATCTGGCACCTTCTTAACCTCCAAACATCAAACAAAAAGTTGTTCGTAAACAACATTTTCCGTTACATAATGAGAGCTTTTGGACACACATACAAAAAAAAAAACAAGAAAGAAAGAAAGAAAGAAAGAAAAAAAAACCCAACGTGCCTGACACCGAGCAGGCCCAACTTCCAGCAGCAACATATAATAATGCACTTCAGCGTGACAAAACATGACCAAGACATATTTATTTACCTTAGCTTTTTGGGAACAGAGTAGTCAACCTCGATCACCTTTCCGTGTAACTCGGCTTTCCCTACAAGAAAAACAATGAGCCAATTTAGGAGAGACAAAACAAAAGATAGGAACGTATTCACTTCTGTTAATTATTATTATTATTTATATTTGGAAAAATAAAACGTTTTTCTGAGTAAGGAAGGAGAGTAAACACAGGAACGTATGGACTATTGTTTATTTATTTATTTTTATTTTTTTTGTAAAATGAATCCTTTTTAGAAGGAGGGAGACAAAGTACAGGAACGTGTGGACCAAGTTTGGGACTTTTATTTGGAAAAATGACGCCTTTTTCAGAAGCACAGGGACCAAATACAGGAACGTATAGACCACTGTTTTGAAATTTAGCCTCTTACAGTGATTTGACGACTAGCTTTAAAAGGTATACGCATTTTTAAAAGAGTTAAACTTGACATTTGGGGTTTCTACGAGGCTTTAATAACCTACAGGTGAAGGGGTAGCGTTTTGCAGACCCTTCCTAGCCAAGGTGACTGATGTTTCTAGAAGAAGGGGGGAAAAAGAGGCGCCAAAACAAACGAGATTGCCAACGTGTGAGGAGAAAAGTGTCGTAAAAGTGACAAATTGGGCCATTTTCTGTCCATAATCGACCGTATATAATTTTCCCTGACTGGGTGAAGGAACGCCTGAAGTCCACAGCGAAACCAAAAGCTCTAACGAGGTGACTTTATCTGTGATGACCTCAGGTGTTTTTTCTCCTTTTTAAGTGCTGGCGAGGGAGGGTGGTGTTGTTGTGGCTCGTGAAGCGTAAACTGTGGGCGACTAAATCTTGTATTTTCTTTTCTTTTCCTCTTTTTTCCCCACCACACACTCTTGAGTTCACAGCACGGGCCTAGACAGCAGCACCAGCGCCGTTTTCACTTTGACCCTCACCTTCCTTCTCTCGTCTCTGTGCCCTGAAAACCCCCACCGTCCATTTCTCCTCGCTTTACTCGAGCTGCACATCACCTACGAGCAGACCACCTCGTAGTAACCTAGCCTGGCCTTTGGACTACGGTTTCGTGCCACTGTCTTGGCCTGGGCATGTGCGAGGTCCCTCCAAAAAATTCGCGACAAAAAATGAGCGAAAAATATAATTATGCCAATCCCGAGGCACTGGGGGGACCACCCAGTCATCCTAAACTGCGCTTGCTTTTGCTTCTTCCTCGGCTCTTGGGGGGCACAAACATTAGGAGAACATGGCATGAAGTTGGACCTTGTGTGGTGGAGATGGGGTGGTTGCATCATGTTTTTTACCTAAGTGATAACAGCGCTGATAGAAAGGCTAGGCTGGTCCACCTTATTCGAGCTGCTACTCACTGTACTGGCTGCTGCTGCTTCATCCGAGCAGAGTTTTTGCTTAGTGCATTAGCCTTCATAGCAAAAGGCAGGTCAGTCCCAACGCCGACCCAACGTTACCTACACATAAAGAGTGACATGAAGAGCAATTAGCGGAAAAAACCCTCCTACCTGACAGCGTCTCTATAGCTTTTATGGCCCACTTCTGATCGGGGAAATCAACGAAGGCGTAGCCGGACTTGAGTAAGACTTGGTCGGTCACAGGCAGCTCTCTTTCCCCGAAGAGCCGTTTCAGGTCTTCCACGGTGACCGAGGGACTCAAGTTCCCAACGTAAAGCTTGTTCATGATCCACCAAGGCACGAAATGATTACAGAGGAAAAAAAAATAAACAAACGTAAAAATGTGAAATGGACAAAAACCCGAAATGTCTAACGGTCGGCAGCCTCTTCACCGTTAGAACGAACTTTCCACTAGCTGCTATGACAACGTGCTCGCGTGAGCAAATACCAACAACAAAATAAAGGATGTAAAGAAAGAAAGAAAGAAAGAAAAAAAAAGAAAAGCAACAATCCGGTTCAAGGCCCCCCCTCCTCCCCGGCATCAACTTGTAAATCACTTTGTGTGCGAGTGTGTGTCTGTGAGAGAGAGAGAGGGAGAGAGAGGTTTACGCTTCCACACGTCACTCGTACTGGAGCTGCCTACAAACCTGGAGGCGCCGCCTCATTAAAGAGAGGGGAAAAAAATAAATTAAATTAAATTAACTTAGAAACACACCTTTACCCTCCCTTTCTCTGTTAGAGTAAACCGAGACAGACGTGTGGAGAAGACTAAGGACGGCAAATAAGGGCAGGAGAAGAAACGCCTATTTTTTTTGGACACACCTATTTCGCACCTTGTTTTCTGTTAGAAGATGAATCACACGCTGTTGTTGTTGTTTGTTGTTGTGGCTGCCATCACATCCACGTGGGTGGCAAAAAAGCTCCTGTCTCTCTCCCTCCTGGAGGTTTTAAAGGAGTGGTTCACCAGAAAATCAGATCTACTCAAATTTCCCCCCAACCCACAAGTAGTAGATTCGCCTAACAGTTATATACACAGTTAGAAGTAGAGGTTCTGTGCAGGTACGTTTTTCGTTCATCAAGGAACCAACAATGTAAATGTGCCCTCAAAGGCACAACCGTGGTTTTAAGGTCCAACTGTGCACCTTAAATTAGTTTCCCTCAGTGGAAAAGTACATATTTGTACCTTTTCATAACCTAATGTTTTAAAATAGAACAATAAAATAAAAGCCTGGAGACGAGACGGGGTGTGTGGAGTCAGTACAACGTAAAAAAATATAATTTAAATGGATTATGGTACAATTATGTTCCCTGACTAACAGTACTGAGATGTACCCTTGAGGGTACCACCCCAGTGCTTAGAGGGGTACTGCCCCAGTGACAGCTTCATACCTTTTTTCCAAAAAAGTATGTTTGCTTCTTGAGGTGTACATTTGCTTTTTTTGGTGAAAGAATGTAGGACAAGGTAGCAGTATTGTAGATATTAATTAAAATTAATTATTAATTAAAAAAAGCAGCTTACAAAGAAGTGAGCAAGTCAAATACCCTCTAATACAGCCCATCCGAAAAGATATCACAGCCTCAGAATAGGTTTTAGTAAGGGTACAATTACTGTCCACTTTATTGGAAACAACTACCTTGAACATTACTTGTGCTCAATGCCATAAATGTGCTTTAAGGCACTGGCTGCTTTATTGTAAACACCTAGCTTATAGGTCCACTAGCTGTACAATTACAGACTCCATCTGTTACACAATTTGTCAGCCACCCTCTAAACAACTTATCTATCGACCACTGGACCGCTGTTAACCAGATATTATTCGCTGGCATGGTTATATGTGGTGCTGGTACAAGTAGATCAGGCACAGCGGTGTCACTGACATTCAGACAAGAGCGGCTCTGTTGTCAAAAACTGCCTATTGATAAAGGGCTAGAGGATGGCTGGGCAGATGGACTACAGTGTCTAACTCTATACCAGCAAGGTGGAGCTACAGTTTGGTCAGTGAGTTTGTTACGTAGAGTTGCGGATACATGCAGATGTTTCTGTTTTAGTTAAATTTAAAATCAAATTAGAAACTTTCCTGACCTTCCCCCTGCATCTCCTGATGTTTGTTGTGTTCACGTTGCCCTCTTTAACTTTCCAAATTTGCTTTACTAAAGATCACGTTCCCGAATCAACATTAAACGAGTTACAGAGACAATATAGTAATACAGTGCTCAGGGTTCAAGAAAGTATATAGTGTACAAGCTTAATGACAAGCAGCCCAGATTCAGTTAATAAATGCTGTCTTGCTCAAATTACAGCAAAACAGAACAATTCAGACAGGTGTCCAATCTTATCCACGAAGAGCCAATGTGACTGTAGGTTTTTATTCCAACAAAGCCAGAGCACACCTGATCAGTTGCTGATGAACCAAGCGGAACTAGCTGTTCTCCTGCTTATTTGGAATGAGCACCTGCAGCCACACCGGCCCACCTTGATTTAACATAGTTTACTGTACACAACCCACCCTCATCATTCAGTCTGGGTCACTCATTTACTAACCAGTCCATCCAAGCAGTCATTAAAGGAAGAGTTCAGTAGGAAAAAGCTAATACTAGGAATTAATTTATTAGTTAATAACCAGCAATCAGCATATGATATGTACTTATAAAGACTAAACATATTACAATTATCAGCTAACATCATAAAATCCAATAGTGCTGTCTGATTTGAGGGTCCACACCCTACATTTTCTTGCATATTTTCCCTTTGGAGGTCCACTTGTCACGTTTTTGTGGTTTTATCAATGGTAAGGGCCCTTAAACCCCCTTAGAAAAGATGTAAAACCGCTCACTAAACTTGTCAAATCCCATCAGGATACACAGACCTGTTTTGTTACAGTTATTATTCAAGTGATGTTACCATGTTATTAATTTGATCCATTAAAACTATGTTCAGGTTACCTGTTGCCACAACACCGCGACTCTGTATACAGTCAACAGTGAGGTTTAACATACTGACCAAGCCAAGAGAATGAAGGAGGACAAAAAAGTTGTAAAATGTCATGTTTATTCTTTCAGTGGGGACAACATAATAGACATTTACATGTGATTTGAGACACTGGCCATTCCTTCTAAATACAGGTATTGCTGTGGTTGCCAATAGCAGTCCTGACATATTTAAAAGGAAGACACCAAGATTTTTTAAACCTAATCTCTATCGGCTGCATCCATAAGCATGTAGTCAATTACTGCAGACAATAATCTTGACACATTTGTCTGTACTTTGGGGAAAAAAGTGAAAATGCATTGAGCTGAAGTGCACTTAAAACAGAAGCCAATTGGCAGTTGTTGAATTCTGACAGTAAACATTTTTGTAGAGCACTTTAGTCAAAAGCTTTTGTAGACGAAACTGAAAGTCGGTACAATTCAGTTTGGAGTCGTTTCAGAGAGGAAGGAACTAACATTACCAACATAGTGTGGGCAGAGTTTACACCATGGGTACAATGGTTGGTTTACCATGGATACCAAAAAGCCTTAGAAGCGACATTCTCTCATGTCTATCTTATCCCAATGTTGTGTTGACATGTTACCATTGGTAAAAAAGTTATTCCGTGCCCCGTAGTTTAACATAGCCATGAAAACGTTGCCATGGTGACAGTGTCGCCAGCAAAATAGATGATTATCAGAGTAGACTACCAAGCAACATCCGGTATATTCTACCGCCGCACACGACAGCAAAATTTGGGAAAACTCGACGGAATATTCCGCAATTATCCATTATTCCGCAATGGAATATTCAGTTTGCTGTCGACTGCCTGCTGCCAACATGTTAATGCAGTCCTGTATTGTTAGAGTGTAATAGCTGTAGTTTCGAAGTCCTGCTACCCACATAAGCATTTAACAGCTGCCCATTGGATTCTATTACAAGTGAGTTCTCATCGGGTTCTCTAATTTTTCTAAGCACAGGAAACTGTCATGGTACAGCACAAATGTATGTATAAAGATTAAGTTGAAAAATCCTCGTTTTCCTTTTAGCTTGCTTATTCTTTTAAGCTTGAGCTAAAAAAAAACTGTCCAATAGAAAAAGAAGAAAAAGTGACAGTCATTGGACATCTACAAAAGTTTGAAATCCTGCTTCTTCAAAGACCCCCAGGATGCTGAGACAGCACTCTACACAGACCTCAAGATAAACAGATCACCAAAACGGGGCTTGTAGTCAAACAGATTTGGACGTTAATGACTACAAGCACGTCGTAAGGAAAGCAGAAGGTCTGATACAGCTCATCAAACACAAGACCTATGGACAGGATGACTATTAAACTAACCAAAACTGAAGCCACTTAGAATACAAGAACTCAAACCAAACAGAAAAAGAAAACAAAAACTCTCTCCGTTATTCATCATTCATAAGAATAAAAACAATCACCCCTGCTCAATGGACACAGTGACGTCTGCTTCTTCAGTAACGCCCTGTTGGAGCAGATAGAGATTAATGTTAGAGCTGAATGGAGGCATGACAGTTAAAACAGAAGTCATTATCATCTCATTCTTGTGATTCACAAATGGCGTCCCAAACTACTCAACAATGTCCCCAATATATTTCACAGATGCTTACTTTACTTAAGATACCTGATATCGGATTAGTGCCCTCTGTAATCACTATGAACCTAATATGTAAGTTAAGCCTCTATAAAAGTGAGGAACTGAAGTGTGGACCTACATAAGGCCCATGGATAGAGGGAGTTATGATTCACAATGCATAAATTAATTCGATACAACGTGGTCCAATGCATTTCTTTAATGCATTATACAGAAACAATAATGAGTGTCTGAAAATGTGTTTTAATTCTTGTTTACTTCAGCACTCATCAATATAAAAGCGTTTGAGCCAGTGTGGAGTATTTGGCACAGTGGATTTCTGACTGATCCATTCAGACTGGTTTCTAAGCAGCACAGAAAGTCTAAATAAAAGCAAATCAAATCAAATGTGGTGTGATGTGTGAGGAAAAAAAAAACAGGAAATACCATCTAATAGCATTCAACTGTTTTCTTCTATTTATACTCACACAGAGGAGTGATGCGTGTGCTGAAGATTAGACATGAGTTATGACAAATACTGGGACCCACCTTGAACAAATTAAGTTGACTTACAAAGAAGTTTTCTTTTTTTGATGTTGTGTAAAAATGTTTTTAATTCTCTTTATAATCTGTTGTCAGAATGAGAATTTTAAAATTATTTATTTGACCATTTTTTACAAAATAGCGTTTGTAATTGACTCATCAGGATTCTTTTTATTGTGCCACAAAACATTGTTATTTTGGTTGACTTCCTTAGGGTTTACCAAGAAAACATTAATGCCAAGGGATTAAAAGTAAAACAAAGTAGTACAAACTTTTTTCCATGACAAAAATCAGTAATGAGAAACAGACATGTGGGTAAATAACAACTATGAAAAGGAAAAAAAAAATTAAAATATAAAAATGAATAATTTAAATTTTTTTTGTATCATATAGAGCACCAATTGATCTATCAATGGACCTAATTTTATGGACTTGCCAGACTATTCCAGCCACATACTAACCAGGAGCCAACATGCTAGCCCCAAGCTAACATGGTACCCATGGCGTGACTTGATACGTGGTATTGTTAAACCCCTAACCTCTACCATGAAAAAGGAAAGGGGGGGGGGCACCACATTCACATTTTTAGACAATGTGTCTGTTCATAAAGTTCCACCACTAATGAGCAGTTAACTTACGTGGGGAGTATGACCGCGACCGAGAGCGCGATCTGTATCCTCCGCGATTGTAGTAGGGTGACGGAGACCTGCGCCTACACATACAAGAGAAGCTTATGGGTCAAAGATCGACACAGGACTGAGAGATTTTAATAAACAAATTAAGGAAAAACAGTTGAGTTCATCTCTGATGAAAAACACACATGAAAACCGAAGACCTTTTTTGGTGACAACCTGAAAACTTTGAGAGCATGTTGGTTGACCACATTAGTGCTTTAAGACTGCTTTGTACTTGAGTCTAATTTTACAGGTAGCCTGCCCACCCATGGTTACTGTTCTTATAATGAGTAAGCCAAATGGCTGTTAGCAACCTTTATACATCAGTTTTGTTTTTTCATAGCATAAGCTTTATACACTCTATACGCTTTTCTGCTAGTTTTGAGCTGCAAACGGCTCAACCTTTAACATATAGTTACACCATCTGCAAAAAATACCATGTACCATGTAAAAACCAATGCTCTCGTATGCAGTCATATGCAAAAGTTTGGGTGCCCCAGGCAAAATACATAGTTGATTATTTTATTTTATTTTTTTTTAAGTGAAAATAAGTTACACATCCTCTACAGAGAACAAACTTCTGCACATTTTAATGCACAGCTGCTGTTTGTTTGCTGAATTTATTTAATTTGTTTGTAAAAAATAAAGCATAAAACACGGCTTTTGCAAAAGTTATGGCACATTTTATATTTATTTTTTTTCCAAAAAGTTAAACTCAGCAAATAAACAGAAATTGTGTACTAAATTTAAATTTGCTGAAAAATGCCATTTTAAGTGTGTTCCTTGTTGACCTTGGTGTTAACTTATTTTCACTTTTATTCAATTAACAACAGAGTTCATTTGGCTGGGGGAGTACAAACTTTTGCATACAACTGTGTTCTGTTTGTTCATACATACATGAGACAAAAGAGCACAAATACCTAAATAATACAAGAGAAGTGTAACTACTAGTAAATACCCAACACAAAGCGAGCACAACAGATAAAATAAAAGCCTCTCCACTCACTGACCTGTACGATCTGTAGTATTCTCGGTCATCATAGCGGTCATAGCCGCGATCATATCCTCGATCGTAGCCACGATCGTAATAATCCCTGGAGCGGCTGGTGGAGATGCTGGGTCTTCCTCCCCCACTGCTGGCACGCAGAGAGCGAGAGTGAGAGCAAGAGCGATAGACAGATAGACAGATAGAGAGAGAGCGAGAGAGAGAGAGCGAGAGAGAGAAAGGGGGAGATCATATTAGGGCTGGGCAATATAATTTATCACAGTAACTGTCATATCAGTGTGCTTTTCCAAGCATATTGTTGATATCATCAGTACTAAAAACACCTCCCAACTGTATGTCTGATTGTAAAGAGAGCACAATTAGTCCTGTTTAATTGGATTCAGTACAACTCAATATGTGATATGATAAATTCAAATATATGTATTCATAGTTTTTGATGGTATGTTTTACATACGGCACTACTTCTTCTGTTCCAACCTATTAGACATCAGAAAAAATAAATATTGGCATATCATGTCGTGAAAACCTCTTGAAGTATCGTAATTACATTCTTACCATATGACCCACCTTTAGTTCAACTCAATGTGAACATAAAAATTTGCAGAGAAACTCACTAGTTTAAAACAAATTTAATTTAAGCCTCTGTGTTTCTCAAAAGATGCGTTCGATCCACACTTCTGCCCATAGAGTCTATGACATTATTTAAAAAATTAATGAGGCATGCAGTTTGAATGACGCTAAAATTTTAAAATGCTAAAATTCAGAGGCTTTGAATACTCGTTGGTTTTTGAAGAAGTACTCAATCTCTACACCACCCTTTAAAAATATTTGCATAACTAATCTTACTTTGAGAATACTGATTTGTTTAATTTGTATAACCTGTTTTTTAAATCAAAATATTCCAGTCTTCAATCTGTAAAAAAGTTATACATTTATACATCCCTTTTTACGATGGATGTACCAAAGACGATATAAGACGGATGTGCTGTAACGTTATCTCAGATAAAGAAACACATGAGTCTGACTGAACTGCTTACCTGGAGAGCAGCCATGATACAGAAGTTTTTTAAGCTGTGAACATTTAAGACTCTTTTTTTAATGGTGCGTTTTCATTGTCAGTTTAGCTGGTTTACTGAATGGACAGCCAAGTTCATATTGCAACTTCACTGCTAACTTAGAGGCTAACTGAAGATTGACAGCGAGCAAAATATCCTTGATTGGTGAACATAAATCCCATTCAGGATTGACTACTAAGTAAGTCATTTTAATGTTTTTCACTGAATTTGGTTAGATTTACAACCGTTTGTGTGTTAAATTAATCAGCCTGCCATCTCCGCCTCTCAGCTACGACTCACTGTGGCAGAACAAGTGACTGAGCCTAACATCACGTCTACTGTTAAGTAAATGCCATTTTCTCCCGACAAGCCCTTTAACTTAACTTAAAACTTAAATAATCCACGAGAGTGTTCTAGAAATCTGGTGGGCTCTAAAGCTTCTGGATACAACTAAGGAAACGAATAACAAATACTAATTGAATTAAAATTCAAAATTTGATCCAATTCCTATACACCACTGCCGATACCGATACAGGTTTCGATACAAGAGCTCGTTTTACTTTGATATTATCATTATTATTGTTGGCATTGGGTTTAAGGTGTTTAATCTTCCCATCACTAAGCATATCTATATTGAACGCTGCAGCTGAACTGCTGGTGGGTGACCCCCCGCACTTTTTCACCTGACGCACGTGCATATGTTTCTAAGTTCACCCATCACAAGAGTCGCTGCCTAGCAGTGTCCTCCTGTCTGTTAGCTAGCATAAACTCCTGGTACTCCTTCACGTGAAACCTCTGCAGGTGTTTGATTAAATTGGTTGTATGGTCCGACCCAGCCATACTTCCACCCCTCGGCACGCTGGCTTTACACACACAACAAGTAGCTGTCTTGCTTTTTGGCGTTTCCAGACTAAAATATCTCCAAACTAACAACATTTCAGTCAAATCAACAGCTGATGTTATTTGCTAAATCAGTTACAGACTGAAGTTGCCACGGGTTCATGGTAAGATGTGGAATAGAATCTGGACTGGTGATGTGGCTGTTATGTTATGTTACATTACGGCAGGTTCATGGTCCAGCACAAGCTGCGGACTGGAAAATGGATCAGTAAGTGGATCGGTCCTGTCCGTCAGATATCCGATGAGTGAAGTGACGTCAAAATCGGACCCAATACCAATATAGGATCAGATTGGTCCCATTTCTAATTAAAACTAAACTGCTTGACTACATCAGTGGTATGGGGAAAAATATGTAAATTATATTTTCCTGCAAACTTGTTTTTAATTGTGGAGTTTCTCCCTGACCAGCGGTAAAATGTAGCGTGTGGAGCAAACTCACTAGGTTGGTCTTCCCATGTAGATACCAGGCGTGGGAGTGTGTGGTCTCTGAGTAATAGAAAAGTCCACTCTGATCCGCCGTCCATCCAGCTCCATGCCATTAGCTCGCTCTTTTGCCTGAACACAGAAAAGTTCACTTTAGAAAAATAAAATTTACTGCAAATAATCACAGCAAGAGAGAGGACTGGGCTGGTGTAATAAAGGTTAATGGCTGTGCATGAGAGAGGAATCTCATCAGAGCTGAAATGGACTAATGAGCTGCACACTGTTAAGAGTAATGAATTTGAGCAGAGCCACTGTCCGTGTATGGAGAAGAGGGAAAAAAGAGAAAATCTATCTAAAGGTTTTAAACTCTGACCTCACAACAATTTAACTGGCTTATGATTTTTCAAAAATCCTAGAAATGCATCATGAAATCTCAAGATTCAACATGAATCGCTTAGATTACCTTGGTAGGATTTCCGATAAAAATCATTTTTAAAATTATTTAAAAAATTGATTTTTTTTTGTCTGTTTGATTAGACAAAAAACAATGCATCAAATCAGATTTGGCAGAATACACCAACTTTAAGCACCATGACGACTAAAGTTCTTATTGATGTAAAGTTTTTAATAACTTTTTCCTATTTTCAGAGCCACACCTTACACTTTTTTTACATGCAAAATTCTTAATTTTGGCCACAAAGTCACTGGCCTGGTGGCTTGAGTTGAAATGTTTCAAAATGTTTATATTTCTCCACCCCATTACCGAACATTATTCTAATGAACATTACAATTTCATCCCACAATACAGCCAAGTGATCAAATTTGGATTGATGCATTTTTTCCCTAGAATAACACAAAGTAGTGACCTGTTCACTGGAACACACTCACCTCCTTGGAGTCCTCCCTGTTCTCAAAGTAAACGAATGCGAAGCCTCGTGATCGGCGCGACTGCTGGTCGTAGACGATGGTGACGCTAGACAGGGGGCCGTATTTGGAGAAGACCTCTCTCAAATCCCTCTCTGTGGTGTACAGGCTTAGGCCAAACACTCCCAGGCAGCAGTTGGGGTCAGGATTTGCCTACAGCCAAAGAGAAAAGAAGTTACTACTGGTGCATTTTAAATTAGTACTAAGTCAATGACTGAACATGCTGATCACATCAATAAATTAACAGCTAGTGGGAGCCAGTTAGCATGATAAAACCTAGCTGCACGCTCTGGGTGATAACTGCTATTTTACAAACAGAACTTGAACATTCTTCCCTATCCAAACCCTAAATTTTCCCAAAAAGAAAGAAAAGAAAGCGTTTCAGTTGCAAACTCCATGTAACTATCGGCCGTAGAAGTCAAAGTTTACCTGAAATAAAAATGAACTTTTTTTTATCTTCTAATTCATTAATCATTAAATGTCATGACCTTTGCCCACCTCTAAAACGTCTTCGGAGTTTTGATTAAATCACCATGCGCAAGCAGGTGGGGAAAATATTAAGTATGTTTCATCTCAACCCAAAACCACATCCATCTAAAACACTCAGCCAGCTCAGAGTGCTTCCCTAAAACCATGTGTCACTCAGAAATACATTATGGTACGAAACGAAAAAGCATTATGATTTTTCCATTCACATTAAAACCCCTGTCAATATGGCTTTAAATGTTTAATTTTTCGTTTTAATAGTAAAGATATGCCGTGGACAAAGCAATTACCAATACTATAATAAAACGGGGGGAAAAAAACCCAAAAAAACAGCCAAACAAATAAGTAAAAAAATAAAAACAAAAAAGTAAAAACTTCCACAGTAACTACAGATAATAGATAAGAAATCATGAAAACGGGCAGACAGGGGCTTTAACTTCAAGAAGAAACTGCTGTATCATTATCAACAATGATTATTTTATCATTTGTAGCGTTATTATTATCATAGTTATATAGCAAACCCATTACTGGTCAGTGTTGTCTGAAGAGACACTGTGCTATAAATTTGGGATTATATCACCCACAACCACCTCAGATCAGCAGAAGGCAGGCACTTCGTACTTATGTGCACACTTCTAACTAGCCCCTACTAGGTTGCATTAACTACAGGCCATGCTATCATTTCCTGATAAATTAAGTATTCTTTTTAAAATAAATGTCACCCTTAACAAAAGAACAGTGCCTTATTATTACTTAAGACTTCTGAAAATCAATAGTGCCTAGTGCACTACCAGTGGTAACATCTAATCTCACTTCCATCATTTAACAGAGCCTAACTATGACAAGATTTTAGTTACCCTTTAAACATGAAAGTCAAAAAGGAGATCCTAGATTTGTCTGCGTGGAGCTGCATCAGATGAAGAAAGCTTTCTTTCTTGTGGCTTTCTTGTGCTGCGAGCTTTTACCAAAACTGTGGGATGTGACTTTTTTTTCTCAATTTGTGAGAAAGGAAAGCCAAGGACAACAGTACTGCTTAGCACTGGAAAAAAAAAGTTTGACATTTACAAGCAGCTCCGAAATAGCCACTGGTTTTGATGCTCACTTTGGTCTAGCGGATGATCTTAGATTACAAAGGCCATCGTGAAGCCCACGAAAGTCTAAAAGGGCCACAGTACGAGACTGCAAATTGAACTGACGGCGCATGATCAAAATCTCAACCAATCATTTCTAGAAGCGTTCAGCTGATTGAGTAAGATGACAATAGCAGCAGCAGTAGTCAACAACAGAACAAAGAACTAATAAAATCCCAGAGAGGCTTTAGCAAATGGAAATAAACAGCACTGCATGGTCTGAGGAAAGACCAAATCAAACATCTATTTCATGTTGTTTCCCCTTTTAAGATGAGACTTTTAATTAACTGTACACTTGCCAATGTATTTGCTATCCAAGATGTATTTATGAGTGGAACACTATATCAGGGAGGATTTCTGAGCTAGCTGAGTGTTTTCTCTCAATGAGTGTGTTTACATGCACCCAACAATGCAAACATAAACGGATTTCTGCAGTTCTTATTATTCAAATGGTCACGTAAACACCCTACTGCAATTTCTTAGACAAGCATAAGGTCCAGAAATCTTATTTTTAAAAAATCCAAAAGGGTAACAAAGATAATAAAAATAATAAATTATATTAAACAATATGTACATAGAATGTTTGGCTCACTTTTACTGTTAAAACATTGAGCTATAATGGAGTCTTTAAAAGCCACTAGTCTACGGTAGAGTAAACTCCCCACTGTCGCTGCTGAGTGAGATTTACTCTTTCAGTAAAAATTACCATGCCGCTAAAGCGTCACGGTGCTTAACTGGATTACGAAAATTCTTAGCTGAATTATGAAAATTAGAAACCTCTTGCAGTCTGAAGTTTCTCCAGGAGAAAGGAGCACCATTAGCATGCAAGTCATAATGAATCTACACCAGAAGAAGCTCATGAATGCATGTTTGCAGTAACATCTATTAAAACGAGGGATGAAGTAGTTTTCAAAAGATGTTTGGTTAGTCAGTATTATTAAATTTGTGTTTTTTTTATTCATATTTTCACAAAAATTTGTAATGTTAGAGAAACTGTGTGTATCGCTTGGGGGAGGGGAACAATATAATAGATGACTGCAATTTTTTTAACAGGAAATTATCATGCTAATTATTTTAGGTTTGCCAAGGAGCTCATTTTTAGTTCTCAATTCTTTTTTATTTTATTATTTAGGATATTCAAGACCTGGCAGTTAACCGTAAACTATATTTTATACATTTACTGTGTGCTTCAGATTACTCTGAACAATATGAAATAATATTTACTATGGTTACGTTTACTGTGTAAGGTTTCCTTTGGTGCAATTTTATGAGAAGAAAATGGAACAAAACAGCACAATCAAAAGAGCTATATCGGATCTGTAAGTCATCATTATATACTATATATTATATATATAGTATAACGTATACCATATAATACTATTACCACAGAGTACCAGAGTAGCAGCACCTATTACAATTATTTATGAAAAGTAATTAACTTTATTAAAGGGGAATTCCATTGATTTTCAAAATTTCTGCCTAATCAAATAGTTAAGATGTGAACAGACTCAGAGCGATTTGACATAAAATATTCTATGATAGAGAATCTTAGATTCAGAATTGTTCACAGTGGAGATGACAGGAACCAGACATCTGAAAAGTTTTATGGGGGGAGGGGAAAAGGGGAGGGGAGACGCGTAACACCTGAAACATTGAGATAAGCTTTTGAGCTTAAATATATTTTACATACATTCATTTTAACTAATTTTTTCAGATTTACCAGTATTTAACTTTTATCATTCTATATACATATAAAAGCTCATAAGACAACTAGGTTCAGTGGTGGTTTATGGACAGTAAATAAAATGGCTATACTTGAGCTGTAAACATTGCGACCCCTCGTTCTTATCAACCGAAGAAATCTACGGCAGTACATTTCTTTACAATGTACCATTTTAAATCAAACCACTTTGATGTTGTTCACATCTCAACCTCTGAATTATGCAAAAAAAATTGCTAAATGGGTGAAACTCTCCATCAATGCTAACTTAAATATATTTATTTGAAAAATATCACGGTACAGACATCTATCACCATTACCCAGCCCTAGAGTGAAGCGTTAAAGCTGTTAAAAGGTGATGAGTGAGAAGAGGTTCATACCCGGTTGCCCACGTGGCGTCTACGGTTGGACATCGGCGAGTGGCTGTGGCTGCGGCGGCGGCGGTACTCACGGCTGTATGAACGACTGCGTGAGTGGCGGCGGCGAGAGTGAGAGCGCGAACGAGAACGCGAATATGAACGAGAGTAGTGCCGCCGAGAGCTCCGCCGGGAACGAGACCTGCAGGAAGACAAATAAATAAATAAATAATAAAAGCTCTATCTGCATCACAAAATCTATACAAAATACATCCAAGGAACAAAACAAAATATAAAATTCATGTTTCAAAATAGCTGCTACTGTTTTTACTTCTTTAAATAGAGAACAGTTTGGCATAGTATCAAAATCCACATACGCAAGCCTATATGAGGACAATTCAGTGCTTCGCAGGTGCCGAAAAAACATTTTTAATTACAGCACTAACCTAATCTTTTGTCATGGTTTACAATATAATTTTGCCTAGAGTTAAAAATCCCACCATAAAGCACTGAGACCTTTACCAAACTAAAATACAGCGTGGAGCATGCCACTAGTACCTATACTGTACCAACATAAAAATGGTATATACTGCCCAGTATAATTTAACCATCATTGACATGCCACACCAGTCACTATATACCAGCACCTAATGAGGAAACTTACGTTACTGATAGCCTCTTTCACCAAAAAAAAACCCTATGAAAATAATGCTACTTTATGCTAGCAGAAATATATGATTTTGCATTGTATGTTAGCACCAAGCTAATGGTGGTGGAGTGTTTTTTTTTTTTAACCTTTTACACAGAATTCAATATGACACAGCTCAAATCTACACATGGACTTCGGTAACTTTTTTGGTACATTCCAGTTTTACACTGATTCACTTAATATTTAAAGCCTAACTCACACCATATCACCCGATTAAAGCGTGAGAGCTCAGCTGGAGCTTGTGAGCTGTTCTCTACAAAATCTTTGGTGAAACCCAACTTGGTTTAACGTTACGTTAATGTGCATGTTTAATAATGTGGTGTTACTGAATACCAGCACGTTAGGATTTAATGCTAATCGGTGGCATATAAGCTTTCATTACTTGTTAGCTAAATTAAGCTCCAGTACAAAACTCCAGACACCAAACGTGTCCAAAACAACCGACTACATCTCCCATCAAGCTTTTTAAGGGTACTTGCCTGGACTTGGACCTGGACCTGGACCGGGATTTGGACCTGGAACGATGAGAGCCATCTTTAGATCCTGCAGGGGACTGACGTGGAGATCCGCTGTTCGATTTTGCAGAGGCCTTCGGACTCTGGCTCCTGGATCGGGACTCCTGCACAGATCTGAGCAGATTAGCACCACAACAGAGAGAACTTTCCATGCATCAAGTCATGGCTCCAGGCCTGTTAACTGGATAAGCATGTTGACAAACAGAATTGACTGCCATGACTCCAGGCTTCATGTTGGCTAAGCATGTTGAAATATAAAATGCATTGTTGTTGAGAACAGGTCTACAAATTGCCTAAGCATGCTGACACAGAAGAAGCTGGACTGATTCTATTACAGTCGACCATGGAAGATTACAAAAGGAACATTTTATCTATGTCTGGCATCAGAATACTTTGTCATTATTGTAGAAATAGTAGCATGCAAAGTGTATGAAAGAGAGAGGTTTGTATTCAGACAGAACAGACTAATGCAAATTACTTAGCCCTGTTTCATCTTATCCACCCGAACACTTCTGAGATTAACTTCACAACTTCAACCAACATTCTGTTCTTCTTTCTTCCGTTTCTTATTTCTGACTTCTTTGCATCTTGAACATTCATTGCTCCCAATGTCACAACACTCTACACGAGGGGAACTTCTTAGAACTTCTCGCCACACCGAATAAGCATGCACTCTCAAAATTCAGCCTCAATAAAAAAAAGAAAAAACTTGACATTTGACTTCGTCCACATTTTCATTCTTCGCACCTTAACCTTAATAAGAAAAACAGAAAAGGGGTAAGGACGTTGTATTAATGTTGGTAAAATAGAGTTTTAAAAAGTCCAGTAGAGAAATGGTTTAAGTCAATCTACAATGGTCTACAACTACTATCACAAAACTGACAGTTCATAATGACTGAAATAATGCATTACGTCAAAGAAATCATTCGCAAAAAAATCTCAAATTTCCACAGCTCTGCCCTTTACTCCAAATGTAATCAACCAGCTAAAACCCGTTTGGTGCCTAAGGTTTGCTTATTTAGTTTTGTACTGGAGCTATGAGGCTAACTCAGCTAACAAGTAATGGAGGTCAACGGCATTCAGACAATCGGTGCACTTAATTTAGACAGTGATGAATGAATCTGAACACGTTTAACTAATGATTTCTTGTACACCAAATGCATGCCAAAGCAGTCACTGTCCGTGGCACTGCAACCATCAAGCTGGTGGATTTTTCAAACGTTAAGAGGATTAATTTTTAATTAAAGGTTATTTTCTATAAATTATAGCCCAGGCCTTTTTCTATTTGAGCAAAAACAAGAGCATAAACACTTTTCGTCTAGCTTGAGGTTAAAAAGCTGCAAGTACTGCCAGTTAGCTGTATTTTATCAAGCACACATGGGTGTTTGGTTGTTTCTGGTTGGTCTAACTCATCTACAACATCACAAGCTGTGTGTTACTAAGGTTATATCCCTAATATATAACATTAAGACAACACTGTTGATCATATAGACTATGATTAAACAACACTGTATAAGATTTGGAGACGTCTTTTGTGTAAATGTGTAACTGCACACAAAACACACATAGATTTTGTAATGTGTGTTGCATATCGGTTCCCTTCCCCAGGCAGATTAATCTGACTACAGACACAAAACATGCCTTGGCTGACCGACTACATTTGAGGAGAGGGGGCAAAACTGTGTAAATTTTTCTTTTTCAGCAAATTATTCCTTAAAGTTCATATTCTTGGTTAATCGTTAACATCAACACATATCAGAAATGACAGAAATGTCTAGGTATTTGCAGTAAATGTTGCCCAGAAAATCAATCTGTGGATAAAATCTGTAGAGATGGCACATTTACAATCCTAAACTACAGTGTAGTGAAGTAGATGGTCGATAATAAAGTGAAAATAAAAATAAATAATTAACTGTTGTATGTTGGCAAGTCGCCTGCATGTAGCCACATTATACAGCTTTTCTAGGTAGAGGAAAACAACTTCAAACCTGTGTATAGCCAAGTTATATTCATTATCTTGGTGTGAACCCATCAGCGTTAATGTCAATATGTGAAATGTTACAATTTCCTTTGGTTCATATGTTTTCAGAGCTTCTCTAAGCACAAATTAATCAAGCCTACTGGCTAAACAGCATGTTTTTTATTACTTAATGTAGTAAATTAAATCCAGTCTTACAATAAAAGAAGAGAAAATACAAATTTGACTAAGAAAAAAAACTGAAAATCAGATGTAATCTAAAAGATTAAGATGAGCGTTGTTAGACGTTCTTTTAGGGCAAAACACTTTACACTAATCAGACTTTCACCTCACTGTACTAAATGTAGTCAATGAACATACACAGATTAACTTTACGACTAAACGTAGAGATTTACATGCAATATCCTGTGGCAGAACTCAAAAGGGAATTCTTCCAATTTGTAAATATGTCTGCAAAATTAAAAAAGTTAAGATGTAAATAAAGTCATTCAGAGTTTGACGTGAAATGCTTAATTCTAGAGAAACTGAGTCAGAATTGTTCACAGTGGTGGTGATAGGAACCAGACATCTGACCCCCTCACTGAAAACTGCTGCAAATACACTGCCTAACAAGTTGTTTTACGATGATTTTGAGATAAGCTTTCAAAAAATAAGGTTTAAAACAGATTTTTAACTACTGATTCATGGGAGAGAGGTGCACGCAGGGCGTTGCAATTCAAAATAATTCCCATAAATTTTTTAGTACTAGAATTATTGTTTGGCACTATTGTATGGTGCTACAAGGCAAAGTAACCCCCAAAGAAAACAATTATTTTTCAGATTTACTACTGTTTTACCACTCTCAGCATTACATACAAAAGCCCAAAAGACACGTATAGGTTCACTGTGATTTGGGATGGTAAACAAAACGTCTACATTCGTGTTTTAGTCACCGTGACCTCTGGTTCCTATCAGCACCACTGCAAAGAAATCAGAGTCTGTAAGTTTCAATGAACCATTTCGCATCAAATCACTGACATTGGCGACTGTTTTACAGCAGCTGAAGCAAATTTCTTCGCTTTCAGCCTCACCGAGAGCAGCTTATCTTAGCTTAGAGAGGATTAGAAAGGCTATTTATCGAGGCGAGGCCGAAGTTCGCGTCCTAGCCGCCAGCTTCTTGTTCGAATTCTCCCGTTCCACCTTAAAACACTGCACGATTTAAGGTGGAACGGGGAAATTGCGAACAGGAAACCGACTTCAGGCGCGTTAGCTAAATATCGAGCGGTTACAGCGAAGATGGACTGGGTTGAGGACCACCGACCACCCTACAATAACACATTTTCATACAGTAGAAAGGCGCAAATTAAACGTTTCGTTAAATTAAGAACAAAACAAAAATCCCGTCGTAACGTCCGCCAGCATGGCTAGCATAGCACAGCTAAACTATGCTAAGCTAATCGACTCGCTATCCGGATTTCTGAACAAATATCAGCTCTAAATAATCGGATTTTAACAGATAACTGTCCTTAAAACTTAAAATAAGACCATGTTTGAGAAAATAAAGTTCATGAAACGGGGTGTTTCGCTAAAGTAGGTCAGCTAAGTTAACTTGGATCGAAACAAGTTAGCACGCTTGCTAGCCAGGTTAGCTTAGCTTCGGCCTACACAAAGACTTCCAGCATTAAAACCCTGGGTTTGCGTCCGATTAACTAAGCTAGATTATACAAAAAATGATAATAGAAAGATTCATCTCACGCACCCGCTCCACAAATTCCTTCTCGTTGTCACTCATGACGAGCTAATCTGCTGTAATCTGGAAACTAGAACAGCTAGAAAAAAGCGGAACGAACTGCTCTGCGTTTCTCAGCACAGCCGCCACTTCGAGCTGGGTTTTTGTGGTGTAACTTACGGCGAAGATGGAAGAAGCTCCTCGGAGGAGCCAGGAGACCCCGCGCGTTCACTGCTGCTGCCATCTACCGCTGTGGCGAAGCTAGTCATGGGGAGTCGATTCCAAAAGAATCGATTCTTCGACTTCAACACGTCTGGGAGTGAGGATCGAGACTCCTGTCCAAGGAGTCGAAACGCATGGAGTCGACTCATTGACTCTGTCGACTCTGTAATTGGATTAAAATAAACACAGTATCAGAAACAAACAACAACATAAAATAGAAAACCAAAAACAAACAATACCTTTTTTCACAGATGGCTGTGTACAAGAGGATGAAGAAGAGATTTGCTTCTTTTTGCCAGCTTCATATTCAATATTTAAAAAAAAATGAAAAAGAAATTGATTATGTGAAATAAACGGAATTTTCGTCATATCGTTATAATCTGTAGCTACTCAAAACTAGGTAAACTACGTTTAGGATGGTTTAATTACTGCTATGCCCCGTTATCATCCTGGTTTAAAGTACTAAGGATTCTAGCGGCAGGAGTCGAGAGCCGGAGTCGACTCGTGTATCACTGGGCGAAGTGCTGAGTCTAATTTAGGCCACAGCGCTCCCATAAATGACCACCAGAGGGCGGCTTCATCATTTAGCAAGAGCAGCGCTGTTGTCAGCTAATACGGTAGAGGTGGGGAATCCCACTCACGTTTCCAGTTTGCCGTTTCCATAGGTTTCTGAAGTATTAGGGGTTTTTCTATTACAGAAATGTTCGAGTCGACTTCTGTTTCGATTCCAAGTGACAGAGATCGATAAAGTCGATTCCACACAATTCCAAAAACCAAGACTGGTAGAGCACATCTGGCCAAAACAAAGAACGCTATGTTAACTACAGTTGACCTTAGCAAAGACATCTGGAGAGTTCAAGAGGATTTCCACGATTAAAAAAAAATGCGTGCATAAATCGATAATTGAGGTGCAAATAAAGCCATTCAGAGTGATTTGATGCGAAATGGTTCATTGTTTAAAAACTTACAGATTTAGATTTATTTACAGTGGTGCTGATAGGAACCAGGGGTCACAATGACTACAACACAAATATAGCCATTTTATTTACTATTCAACTGACCACAATTGAACCTACACACGTCTTCCAAGTGTTTATATGTAATGCTGAGGGTAGTAAAAATGTGGTAAATCTGAAAAGAAAAATGTTTTCTTTGTGGACCACTTTGCCTTGTAACACCCCACACGTCGTAACCCTCCACCATTAATGAAAAAAGTACACTGTAGTTCAAACGTTTATCTCAAAACTATCATATGACAGCATCTCAGGCAAAAAAAATATATTTTCATGTCACAGCTTTCTGTGAGGGTGCTTTCAGAGGCCTTTTCAAATGTCTGGTTCCTGTCACCACCACTGTAAACAATCATGACTAGGTTTCTCTGGAACAGAGTATTTCACACCAAGCCACTCTGAATGACTTTGTTTGCGGCTGAACAATTGACTTATAGAAAAATCGAGGGAATTCCACTTTAACGTTAACAAAATTGACTTAGCCAACTAACAGGCGCTGCCTGACCTCGACCTGATTCTCCTCTGTCAGCTCCTTTGGGTGGGGAGTAGGTTTGCCACCCATCCAGGTTTTCACTTGACTGTCAAAAAAAAAAAAATCATGGTCCAGCATAGACAATCACCAGAAAAAGCAGCATATGTTGTGTTTTGGATGCTGGTCAACCAGATGACCATGCAAGGTGATGAGTTAAACCTGCACCAGACCAGTACAAACCAGTTCAGAGACCAGCATGGAATTAATCTGTCTAAGCTGTTTTTTCCCCAACGTGGACATTTCACTCAACATATGGATATTTGTCTAGGAGCAGGTGCACTGTTTGACAGGTTTAGGCAGCACTTCAACATGATAACTGAGAAGATCAGGTCCTGTAGCCGAACTGACATCCATCTACCTCAGACTGTATCATGAGAACAGCCACCTACCCACTGAAATCAGTAAAACATCAAGCCACTGATGGAATGTCCGGGAATTTTACAGGGCTGAGGTGGCGAGTCTAGTGTGTAGAAGTTTCAGCACTTGCAAAGTTGATTGACACTTCTTTGTTACAAACTTTACATTGTACTCCATTTATGGCATCCAAAGTACAGCTGGTCTATCAATGTCTGTGTTTCGGAAGCATGTGTTTTTCAGACAGGCTGTCTAGAGAGTTACGGCTGAATGCTTCACTCCCTTGTGGGTATGGGTGCAAAATTAGTGCAAGGCAGGGGTGCTACAGGTCTACCACCCTGGATTGTTCAGGTTCAAAGCACTTCGCTGTAATTTTCAGAAGCTCCTGAAGGCCTTCGTTACCTGGATCAGGTGTGTTAGATTAGAGTTGGAGATGAACCGTGCAGGTTGGTAGATCTCCAGGATCAGAACTGGGCACGCTTGTTGCAAGGGAACGCAATGTCATTGCAAATATTCTTTTTCCACAGTTGCACTTTAGGGGTCTGTAGATCTGCAGACTGTCTACGTCTGCACATAAATTAATCAGTGGATCAGTGGAAAGCCATTACGTGTTTAAGTTTTTAACCACCAAAACCACCTGATACTAAGATCTCAGGTCTCACTTTTACAGATCCTCCAGACACGTCTTTTCGAACCCTGAACTGTTGCCACAAAGTTGGAAGCATATAATTGTCTGAAATGTCTTTGTGTGCTGTAGCATTAACATCACACTACACTGGAGCTAATGGGCCTGAAAAACAGCCCCAGACCATTATCCCTCCTCCACCAAACTTTACTGTTGGCGCTATGAATTCCGGGAGGCAGTGTGATTCATCTCTCCAGAGAACGTTTCCACTGCTCCAGAGTCCAGTGACGGTGTGCTTTACACCACTCCAGCCAACACTTAACATTGCTTAACTTAACATCTTAGGCTTGTGTGCAGCTGCTCGGCCATGGAAACTCATTTTGTGAAGCTCCTCATGCACAGCTCTTGTGCTGATGTTGCTTCCAGAGGCAGTTTGGCACTCTGTAGCGAGTGATTGTGTACTACAATACCTTATACTTACAATGTCTTGCTATCTGGTGTCAACCAGAGGAGGATGGGTTCCCCTTCTGAGTCGTGGTTCCTCTCAAGGTTTGTTCCTCCTGCTCTTAGGGAGTTTTTCCTTGCCACTGTCGCCACTGGCGACGCTCAAGGGGGTTTGGACCTGGAGTTCATTCTGTAATGCTGACATTTCTGTAAAGCTGCTTTGTGACAACACCTGTTGTAAAAATATATAAATAAACTTTGCCTGCTTGCTTGATGCAACATAAGATAGACGATCTTCACACCTTACACACCTTAGCATTTGGCAGTTTCCCTCTGTGAGTTTGTGGGGTCTAGATGTGTCACAATTATCACACACAGTTGACCAGGGCAGATCTAGCAAGGCAAAAAAGGTTCACAAACTGACTTGTGGGAGTGGTGACTTCCTGTGACAGTGCCATGTTTAAGGTCACTGAGCTCTTCAGCCCAACCCATTCTACTGATCAATTTACTGTTTGCCTATGGAGATCAGATGGCTATGTGCTTGATTTCATACACCTATTAGCAGTGAGTAGGGCTGAAACACCTGAAGCCAATAGGGTGTCCACATACTTTTGGCCATGAAGTATACATCGCCCACCGCCTTTGTGTTATTTAAAACTTTTTTTTAAAATGTGAAAAAGTAAGTCACAGTCCTTTGTCACAGTGCAGAGGACCGATACCAGGATCGTCATCTCAGGACCTCAGCCCACCTACAAGAGAGGAAGTGAGATGTTCAGAAGGCTCTACATGCTTCACTGTTGGCTCCAAGGCTGGTGTGATAATGACGGCAGCTATGTGAGTAAATGGGAGCAAGCGGCCTTCTACCGCAGTGACAGACTACACCTGAGTCGCTCTGGGTCTATCATCCTGTCCGAGAACATAGAGAAGGGTCTACACCAGGCCTGACTGGATGTAAAGGTTGTAAACGACAGATGGGTAAGTAGTATTGACAGCAAACAGGTAAGTGCTTTAATGCTATAGACATTGCTTCCTCAATTTCTACCATTCCCCCATTTCTCTGCAGTCGTAATACTAAATCTTCTGCTAGCTATGAAGGGAGAAAGATGCCTAAACTGGTCATTGAATCAAATGTAAGAAGCTTTGTTCCAGTGACACCATTAGAGTCATCAAACCCTGCGCAATTAGAAAATCAAAGAACAACATGCATTTCCAGTAATCTCAGTCCTGTTCCTTTACAAAAGACCAGCCCACCCCAAACTCACCCCTTTCTTAGAGTGAGGTCACTAAATAACAAAACTCTTCTGACTCGAGATCATATTGAAGAGCATCAGCTTGATTTTATGTTTCTGTTGGAAACGCGGCTCAGTGAAAATGGCACAGCAATTCTACGCAAAGATGGTTCTTTTTTTTTGTGATCAAGAATTTTTATTTCACAAACAACAAGGGGATAGGGGACAACAGACATCCAGAGACATAGACAGCAACAATGATCATAGGTACAACATCACAAAATTAAATAAGGGATGAAATGTCCATATTCAACGCATACCTTGCAGGAAATCCAAAACACGTAACACAAAAGTTTGCCATGTTTCAACAGTCATGTGCTTAGCATGGTTAAGTCGCGCAGCCGTACATTCAAGTTTTGCTATGTTTAAGTAAATTAACAGCCCAGAATGATTCCAAGTGAAGTCCAGGGGACAAAGATTCTTCAAGGGTTCTTTAGTAAAGAAAATGGTTCTATATGGGACCATGAACACTCAAAGAACCCTTTGCATGATTAAATGGTTGTTTGCATCGTGAAAGCGTTCTTCAGATTGATGGAGAATGTGCTGTAGATGGTTCTATACAGAAACTTTTTGAAAAGGGTTCTTCTATTGTTACAAGCTTGATATTGTAAAAACAGAAGAACCCTTTTTGGTGCTATATAGAACCCTTTTCAAAAAGGTTCTATATAGAACCATCTACAGCACATTCTCCATCAATTTGAAGAAGAACCATTTAACCATTT